CGTCTTGGGAGCCTCTGGAGGCCGCCCTGGACTATTTTGGACCTCCCCGACCGCCCCGTCCTCCCACGGGGGGTTCTTCGGGGCTGTTTGGGAGCCTCTTGAAGCCTCATTTGGGCCTCCTGGGTGCTTCTTGGGGGTCTCCTGGGGCCTCTTGGGGCCCCTTTGGAGCCTCCCGGGGCCCTGTGGAGGCGGGAGGCTCGAATTTCCGGTTCGCAGTTCCCCTCTTGGAGCCCTCTTGGGGCCGTCTTGGGGCTCTCTTCGCCCGTCTTGAGCGCGTTTTGGGCCGTCTTGGGGCCCTCAGGAGCCGTCTTGAGCCCCTCTTGGAGGCCTCTTGGGCTCTCTTGGGGCGTCCGCGGGGGGCCTTTGAGCCGTCGTGAAGCGTCGGAAAGCTGAGAAGGCGGGAAAAGCAAAATGTGTCCAAAACCTTCGTAAAATAAACGATTTCGGCCTCTTGAAGCGCTTTGGAGAGGCGTCTTGAAGCGTCGTGGAGTGCCTTGGGGGGCCTCTCGAGCCGTCTTGAGCCTATCTTGGGCATCCTGGAGCGGTCTTTCGGCGACTCGGGGCCCGCTTGGGCCGTCTTGGGAGCCTCTGGATGCCCTCCTGGACTATTTTGGACCTCCCCTGCCGCCCCGTCCTCCCATGGGGGGTTGGAGGCGGCGGCCTCCGAGGCCCAGGACGCGGAAGCCCTGTAAAAACACAAGGAAAATGAGCCCCCGTCCCGCCATGGGGGGTGGGGGCACCTGTCCTGGGGCCCCCGGCCTCGCCCCCAGGGATATGTATATATATATATATATATATATATATATATATACATATATATATATATATATATAATGTATATATATACATACTAGAACCACGCGCGCCTCGCGCGCGCTTAGGTTCTAGCCGCGCCCATGGAACTCGCACTAGAAGTTGCGAGCTGTCCCAGTGAGGGATGCAAGGGCCATTGCTATCACATGTTATCGCGTGATGCCCAGCCCATACCTAGAATCCATCACGCCACTGCCAGAACGTATACATGTATGCATATGTGTGTACAAATGTGTATCTGTGTAGGATGGCATTGGGCCAAGCCCGCCGCCGCGTATCTGCTCTCTTTCCCCTGTTCCTCCTCCTCCTCCTCCTCCTCCTCCTCCTCCTCCTCACCTCCTCCTCCTCTTCCTCCTCCCTCCCTCCTCCTCCTCCTCCTCCCTCCTCCTCCCCTCCTCCTCCTCCTCCTCCTCCTCCTCCTCCTCCTCCTCCTCCTCCTCCTCCTCCTCCTCCTCCTCCTCCTCCTCCTCCTCCTCCTCCCTCCTCCTTCCTCCTGGGGGCTGCCGAGGAAAGCCCATGATTTCAAGGGTCGAAGCCTCTTGTCGCTGGCTGGTGCAGGCTGCGGGGTGGGCAAGCCTGGCGCCCCGCAGGGCACAAGGAGCTGCGGGAGGCACGGGGTGAAACAGCGATGACGGCGGTTTTCCTCCTCCTCATCATCCTCATCCTCATCCTCCTCCTCTCCCTCCTCCTCCTCCTCCTCCTCCTCCCTCCTCCTCCTCCTCCTCCTCCTTCTCCCTCTCCTCCTCCTCCTCCTCCTCTTCCTCCTCCGCCTCCTCCTCCTCCTCCTCCACAATTACTCAGTATGAATACTACTCTCCCTCTTCCCCCGATGGCGGCCTGAAAGTAGCCGACCCCCCCCCCCGCGTCCTGCTTTTTTACACACAGGATTCCCGGGAGTTGGGTTTTCGCCTGCATTTTTTCAAAATGCTGCTCTCGCCGAGGCGCCGGCCTCATTTTCGGGCCCCGCTCGTTCCGAATCGTGCTCCCGCTGCAGCGCTGGCCTCATTTCCGTGCTTCCGCTCGTTCCGAATCGTGCTCCCGCTGCAGCGCTGGCCTCATTTCCGCGCTTCCGCCCGTTTCGACTCGTGCTCCCGCTGCAGCGCTGGCGTCATTTCCCGTGCCATGCCACAGCACACGCGCACACACGCACACACACACACACACCAACCACCACCACCACCACCACCACCACCACCACCACCACCACCACCACCACCACCACCACCACCACCACCACCACCACCACCACCACCACCACCACCACCACCACCACCACCACCACCACCACCACCACCACCACCACCACCACCCACCACCCACCACCCACCACCCACCACCCACCACCCACCACCCACCACCCACCACCCACCACCCACCACCCACCACCCACCACCCACCACCCACCACCCACCACCCACCACCCACCACCCACCACCCACCACCCACCACCCACCAACCACCACCCACCACCCACCACCCACCACCCACCACCCACCACCCACCACCCACCACCCACCACCCACCACCCACCACCCACCACCCACCACCCACCACCCACCACCCACCACCCACCACCCACCACCCACCACCCACCACCCACCACCCACCACCCACCACCCACCACCCAGCACCAGCACCAGCACCAGC